GCTCGAGGAACACTAGTTTCTGAGATGACAGGTCACACTTATAAAGAAGATTTTGACCATGATGCTGTAACCAGCCAGTGATTAAGGGGGAATGCGTGTTGCGTTTTAATTTGGTCCTTATATAGCATAAAAGAATGTGCCTAACATTTGCCACCTTAAATATGGATGCACTTTGATATATGCTTTTAATCTTCTTTCTTTTGAGCGTTTATATGGACAAAGATTTTAGGTATGGTGTAACTCATAAGTGGGACCTCCCAAAGTAGGTCCCACTAACCCTACATATTTCTGTTTTTTCATGCAGAAAATACAGTGCTCACCTGTTGTTCCTTAATAACTAGTTGAATTGGCAGTTCAAACTAACGAAATCTTGTTCGTTTTATGGGCACTAAGTTGTTTATGGGTTTTACATATATTACCAAGGTGATGTGACAAATTTTCTTCTTTTCTTGAATTTAGAGCTAAGATGATGTGACAATCACATCATCTTGAATTACAGCAAGACTAATTAACTCTGCAACTTTAATAATGTGATAATCACCATAATTGATAAATTACAATACTCAAGAGCATTACATTATTATGGTAAAATTAATAATAAAGGGTAATATTATGGCTATTAAGTTGTTCAATAAATTGCCGGTCCGATAAGTTAAACGACAAGATATAAGGTGAGATCGGGTTAGATTTGTGAATTACTTACGGATTCGATCCTGCATTATATAAGAAAGATTTATTTACCAAATTTGAATACTAAATGATGCGTTGATGTTAGATTTAGATTTTCCGACGTGAACATCATGTTGGTTGGGACATTTGCTTCAGGTGAAACTACACTATAAAAATAGAAAAAAACCGGGTGCTCTCTAAAGAGACTGCAATGCTTAAGTCAAACATGAGTTTTAGGGAAAAGTGAGCCAAAACTCATTGTCGAGTGATGAAGAGCATCAACGGAAGTGCATTAATGCTTCTAGCGGCGAGATTAGATGGAATGCTGGCTTGACTAGAGCCCTAATATATGGCACCGATGTTACTAAGCACCATCCACTGATAAAATGTGGGTCTTGCAATGTGTGACTCATATATGAGACTCACTTTTTATAAGTGCTGGTGTTTAACACCGGTGGTGTCTTTAAACATTTTTTGCCTAAGGTAAAAGAGAGCTGGGAAAAATCTTAAAGAGAGCCACCTTCTTAGGCGTTGAGTGTAGTACATGCACGAGTCACTTGCCACGCAATTCGTTATTCAAATTTAGTAAAAATTTTGGTGTAAAATAACAAAATATTAATGGTTAAACAAGTTGATAAACTAAAAATGGCCATTTTTTTTTCCTTTTTATGTAAGACTAAAATCTCAGCCCATCACCCACAAAATCTGAATGAATGGGTGACATATTTTCGGGTGAATATTAAGTTGTGGATTGTGTGGAGCAAAAGTGGGCTACCTAACTGAAATAAACAAGTGCGTAATGTGCGCCAAAGTTGAGAATCAGACTAACCGGAGTGGGACTTAGGCCCCACTGTCTTCGGCTACCCAACTTCCCCATTCCCTCCACTCTTCACGCCGCGGAATGCTATTTTTCTTTTCCCTTCTTTTAAAATAATAATAATAATAATAATAATCAGAGTTAAGTACGGAAGCAAAGACTAGAGAAAAACTTTTTTTTTTTTGGAAAAAAAGGCTAGTTAAGTAGTTAGATTAGATGGTTTCATTTAGCAAAGAAAAATGCCATGTGGGTCTGATAATTAAAGATCACAACCCATTTTATAACGAAACCCCTAGTTGACTTTTTTGTGGACTATAATTCTATAACCAGTTGGAATAATTAAAGTGCACATTGGGCTTTGTGATTATTTAACTCCTAATTCATTTTTAAATGCAAAGCATTTGATAATTTAGGGGCCGTTCTTTTGTCATTTTTGAGTTAGGTAATTTAAGTGTAGATTTTGAGTTGAGTTTGAATTATAACTTGAGTTGAAGTTATAATTTGAGTTTGTATTTTGTTGTGTACATTTGAGTTATGATTTGAGATAATAATCTTTTTGAGTTTGTATTTGAGTGAGTCAAAACTTGAATTTGTATTTATATAGTATTTTAATAAAAACTCAATACTGATGAAAAATTTTAATAGGGTATATGAGTAGGGTTTTATTTATCTTTTCGTTTTCAACACATATAAAGAAAAATCATCTCAATCAGAATTAAAACAAAAAAGTTATAGTATTTTTAAGAATAGAAAAAATATTATTTATTAATTTGAGTTCGAATTTCTCGAGTTGAAGGAGAAACTTAAACTCAAATTTTAATCTCAAACTTAAATTTAAACTCGAGTTCAAACTTAAAAGAATATAAATTTAAATAAAATTATAATTTTAAATTATTTTTTTAAGTTTTTAACTCAATAAACCCTTGAACAGCCGCGGTTTAGAGTTGTTTCATTCACTCATTTGTTTAAAGCAAAAAAGAAACTGCCACGTCCTTTCTTTTGTGATATTGAATCCGCGGGAACCAATCTGTTAGCGCCAATCAAGAAATTCTTTTATTTTTCTTTCTTTTAATTTTTCATTATGTGTTCTTTCTGAATAGCAATTAAAAATTCTTGTGAGCCATCGAAAGAGCATATTGCTTAAGTGGCATGTTTTGATTGGATAGAAGAGCAGTCAAAATCATGCTTGAACTTTATGGTCAAAGTTATGCTTCCAATGTCTTTGTGATGTTTTTGCGGTTCTAAAAAAAATAAGAATAAAAATAAAAATTATGACACCCCCGCCAACAGGGAATACTAGATTTTTTTTTTTTGTTTTTTTTGTTTTTGTTGCTAATCAACAAGGGAATACTAGTTAAAACTTAAAAGTTATTATTTTTTTTTTTCACGTTAAAAAATTTCTCAAAGCATGCATGGATTTCGTACCTACAGATTTTCGCTTTTTGACTATAAATGTTGCTTAAACTACAGAGAATTCTTCAAATATATCCGTTACATTTCATGAAACATAATTGTTTAACTTGCTAGAATATTACGTTATTACAAAATGAAGCAATCTAATCTAGAAGTGTTCATTTACATCTAGCATGTTATAGTCCAGCATTTAATGTATAAGATACTTCTCGTTTTTTGCCAAATTTGCGAACAGAAAATGTAATTTAAGAAGAAGCTAAGCAGAAGGTGTGTGTAAAAGAGGAATATTATATATTTCCTGTATCTTAATTAATAACAAGTTTATTTATTTACCCATTCACAGGCATTAGAAGAATAAATTGAGGCATTATTTATTTTATCGATTTAAATTTTTAATTTCAATTTTATAATAATTAAATTTTTTTATAAAAAATTATATCTAATTTTTTCTACTATAATAAAAATTTATCACATAAAATTATATCTTAATTTAAATTTAAATTATAAATCAACGAAAAAATAGCACAATTTTCCGTGGGATTAGTGATTTTTCTATATTAGGGTCACATAGAAGCCTGAGTCAGAATTATCAGAGTAGTTCAATGCGGACTGGAAAGAGCCAAAAGCAATAGTGTATTGTGATGGAGCTTCAACTGACAGCTGGTATTTGAGATCTTACGAGGCAGAGATAACAGATCTACTGGAAGCTAATGCTGGAGAGAGAGAGAGAGAGCAGTCTAAGACAAAAAAGGTGGCAAGGGAAGATGGTGACAAAGGAAAGGGTGATAAATAAGATGATAGATACTGGGCCGTTTAGTTCGCTAATTTGAGTTTTTAATTCGAGTTGAGAAGTAATTTTATGTGAGAATTTTTTACTGTAGCAAAAAAGTTAGATGTGATTGTTTGTGAGAATTTTTTACTGTAGCAAAACTCAAATTTTAAATTCGAATCAGTGAAATAAACGGGGCCCATATAATTAAGAAAGAGTTCCACATTTTCATGCTCACATGACCCAAAAACAGCCAAAAAGAAATTGGAGCTTTATGAAAATTAGAAGGCAGGAAAAAATGGCCTACGGGTTTGAACCATTCCGTTCGTATCAAATTTTGTTAATTTTACATATATTTTTTAGCATGATATGAATTTGATCAGATTTAAAATTCCAAGCCATGAGCTACTTTTAATATGATAAGAATACCTTATTGTATAAAACTCCAGAAATTTAAAGGAGGAAAGAAAAGGGTTTGGGGGTTCACATGGAAAAGGTACGGCATGTCATGCCTTGATGCCTTTGTGAAAAGCCAGCTCCAAGACAAAGCGGCAAATGGGGAATGATGTGGTGTAGGTGTAGCTTCCCCCACTTTTTTTTTTCTTTTTTTTTTTTTTTCCACCGTAAGTACTTGTGACAATCTCCCAGTAAAGTCACCAAAAAAAAAAAAAAAAATCTCCTGCGCAAGTCAAACGCCCTTAATTCAGCACAAAAAGTTGATTAATAAAAAGCCTTGATAGTAATGTTAGATAATAGATATATCGATCCATTCTCTTAGTGGCACAAAATGTATTTAGAGTTGTCACATAACAGTTTAAGTGCTATTTAGTCTTAACTAGATTTGTTCTCCCGATTACTTATAAAAGAGAAAAAAAAAAAGTGAAATAAGAAATACGTACATAAATTAGATTTTTGCGCTTGGATTGCTTCATTAAAAAAAAGTGAATAAATAAATAAATAAAATAACCGGTTTAATCTTCACTAGGTAATGCACCGACCATTTTTAGCTTAGGCAATAGGCACTAAACGAAATTAGGGCCTAAAAGCAAAGGAGCACTAGCAATAACAAGGAAATAACCTCAACGAGTACACTTTACAAGATTCCATAAAAACTGTATTTAATTAAGGCTAACTAACTGTATAAAGCCCGTTAATTTTACTGACCTCTTCCCCTTTTGCACTATTTGACAGTTTTCTCTTTTTTAGTCCCCCTTTCTTTTGTGCTTCGCAGCCACGCAGTGACGACTCTCGACACTTGTGGACTGTAAACAACTGAAATCTGTATACATATACATATATATCTATAAACACACTCACACACACACACACACACATATATATATATATATATATATTGCGTCTCTGTCAAGAGTCCCTCAGAAATGGACCCTCTTGCTGTTTCTCTCTAAGTCTAAACCAACCACATTTTCTCTCTCTTTCTTCTTCTGCATTTTTCCAATTTCATTCATTCTCTTCTTAGTGATCTCAGAGAGAGAGAGAGAAACAGTGAAAATGGAGATCAGTGTTCGAAAGTTTTGGTTGTTCATTTGCTTGGTTTTAGTTGTGGGTTCAGAGCTGATTCAATGTAATGTAACGTATGATAGAAAGGCCATTGTGATAAATGGGCAAAGAAGAATTCTCTTCTCTGGTTCCATTCATTACCCCAGAAGCACTCCTGAGGTTAATTTCCAAATTTTCTGTTCTTTCCTATTTCCTTTTCTTTTCTTTTTGTGGATCCTTTTATGATTTTTTTTTTTTTTTTTTTTTTTTTCTTTTTTTTTTTTTGGGTCCTTTTTTTTTTTTTTTTTTTTTTTTTTTTTTTTTTTAAAGATGTGGGAAGATCTGATACAGAAGGCGAAAGATGGAGGTCTAGATGTGGTTGAAACCTACGTTTTCTGGAATGTGCACGAGCCTTCTCCTGGCAATGTACTTCTTTTTTTTTTTTTTTTTTGGTTTTTCTTCTTGCTCTGTTTTTTTCCTCTTCTCTCTCTAAATTCACTTTGGACTTTTTTGTGTGTGGGTTTTTAGTATAATTTTGAAGGGAGATATGATCTGGTGAGGTTCATAAAGTTGATACAGAGAGCTGGGCTCTATGCTCACCTTCGCATTGGACCTTACGTTTGTGCTGAGTGGAATTTTGGGTACTCTCTCTCTCTCTCTCTAGATTTTTTAATTTTTTAATTGTTTTTTCACTTGCTTGGTCTTGGTCATCTCCTTATTCCGAATTTAGGATTTTTTTTTTCGCCCGGCCAGTTACGTATTAGTTCTTCCTTTTTGTTCAAACTTTATTGTTACGTTTTTCATTTAGTTTAAGAATTTTTATTTGACCCGAATTTTTCCTAAAATATACAATTTTCAAAGCTAAAATTCTCTAATTCTTGTTCTTTGTAGAGGCTTCCCCGTTTGGCTAAAGTATGTTCCTGGGATCAGCTTCAGAACAGACAATGAGCCTTTCAAGGTTTTTTTTCACCTTCAGATTTTTTATATTTATTTTTTTTTAATTTTATAATTTGCTTCAGAAATTCTTGTGCTCTACTATTTAGCATTATTATCAGTTGCATTTACTTAAAAACCTTATGTGTTGCAGAGGGCAATGCAAGGGTTCACTGAAAAGATTGTGGGAATGATGAAGAAGGAGAACTTATTCGAGTCCCAGGGTGGGCCCATTATACTCTCTCAGGTATGAACTTCATATGTGCAAGTACTTTTTTTCTTTTAAATGGGAAATGTTAAATTCTTACCATATTCAACCTAATTTGTAAAAATTGTGTTGTTTTTGAATAATACAGTAGAAGGGTCTAGTTAAGTTTAGTTACAGAGGCAGTGAAACTATTATTCCAAGTCAATTGCAATAACAATGTGCTTTTTTGGGTTCAGATTGAAAATGAATATGGTGTGCAAAGTAAGTTATTTGGGGCCCCTGCTCATAATTACATGACTTGGGCTGCAAAAATGGCTGTCGGCTTGAAAACTGGAGTGCCGTGGGTTATGTGCAAGGAAGAAGATGCCCCAGATCCAGTGGTAAGCTTTCCAACCATCTCTAATCCATTCTCATCTTAGGCTTATTAAGTGATACATTTTTCAATCAATTTGTTAATGATTATACATTATCTTTATGGAGAATTCTTTGATAGGGTCACAATTTTTAACATCAGATTTTCATCAAGTTCTGTAAATCTGTAGTACTTTTTTTAATCTAATATGATTTTAATGTTACAGTTGAAAACTGTCGTATCACAGAATTCTCCCTTTTGCTTGTGTTTTGATTCTTCCTTATAAGTTGCATTTCATTTACATTGGTGAAAATCTGCTTGCGGCTACTTTTGGCAGATAAACACATGTAATGGTTTCTACTGTGATACCTTCTCTCCTAACAAGCCTTACAAACCTACAATATGGACAGAGGCTTGGAGTGGATGGTATGTTGTATTATGAATCTTTCTTTGTAATCTTGACTTAATGATTGAAGAGCATTTGGTGATAGATACTACTTTCCTTTTTTGTTTTGTGTCTGGAAATTATAAAGGTTCAATGAATTCGGTGGTCCACTTCATCATCGACCGGTTCAAGATTTGGCATTTGCTGTTACTCGATTCATACAAAGAGGAGGATCCTTTGTTAACTACTACATGGTCAGTTTTTCTCAACGTGTTTCTGAGAAGAATTATACTGAACTAAAGTAGGCAATTATTGATAGAATTCCAAGAGCAACAGAAAAGGAATGTGATTCTTATTTCTTCTTTCTACGTGAAATAGTATCATGGAGGTACGAATTTTGGACGTACAGCTGGTGGGCCTTTCATCACAACTAGCTATGACTATGATGCTCCACTGGATGAATATGGTGAGAATCGAAATATGAGATTAATTTCCAAAAGTAATTTAGTATTGTGATGACGTACCTAACTATCGTGCTACAAAATTTTGCAGGTTTGATCAGACAGCCAAAGTATGGTCATCTTAAGGAACTTCACAGAGCAATTAAGATGTGCGAGCGAGCTCTAGTTTCAGCTGATCCTGTTATTACGTCTTTGGGGAGTTATCAACAGGTTTTTAGCTCATAATTTCTTAAGCTCCAAGCTTTTTGGGCTGTAGATAATTGAATATTGCTTACTGACTCCAGGCTATTTCTTTTGCAATTCTAGGCTCATTTGTACACTTCAGAATCTGGAGATTGTGCTGCTTTTCTCTCGAATTATGATACAAAGTCAGCAACGAGAGTGTTGTTCAATAACATGCATTATAACTTGCCTCCTTGGTCCATCAGCATCCTCCCTGACTGTAGAAATGTAGTTTTTAACACTGCAAAGGTATAAATTTTTGAAATCTATATGGAGTTTGACGTTGAATTGCATCTGAGCTCAATTTCTGAGACATTTTGTATAATCCCACTTTCACAATTTCTACAACATTAGAGAGCTGAAAACTTTCCGGAGTAACAATGTCTGTCATTTCTTCTCCTTAGGTGGGAGTTCAAACATCAAAGATGGAAATGTTGCCAACAAATACACAAATGTTCTCATGGGAGAGTTTCAATGAGGACCTTTCTTCTATCGATGACAGCTCGTCATTCACAGCTCCTGGTCTCTTGGAACAGATAAATGTAACGAGAGACACTAGTGATTACTTGTGGTACATTACTAGGTGAGACTTGATTGCCCGACTCTTATCAAATGTTTTGTTGCGATGTTTGATGGTTGCTTAATTTCCTCATTTTTCTGCTTCTACAAGTTTTCCTAATGCTTAAAAGGAAATTGAATATTAATATATTTTCGTATTTGAATAAGATGTTACCCACATTAGATTAGATATTAAAGTAGAGGTTATGGTAGATATGAATCATATCACAGCAATCCCTTTGTTTCTTAATGTGAATGCAGTGTGGGTATCAGCGCATCCGAATCCTTCTTGCACAAAGGAGAACTTCCCACTCTCATTGTTCAATCAACAGGCCATGCTGTGCATGTCTTCATTAACGGACAGCTTTCAGGTACAACTTTGATTCACTTGCATGGATTTCGTATTATCCAATTAGGGCTTTACACTTAAATTCTGTTTCATAACAGGTTCTGCCTTTGGATCAAGGGAGAGCAGGAGATTCAGATATACTGGAAAGGTTAATCTACATGCTGGAACAAACAGAATTGCACTACTAAGTGTTGCTGTTGGATTACCAGTTAGTTCACTTTCCTTGAACCTCATTAATTCTCTTTGTTTTGTTCTATACTTGTGATGCAATAACATGTTGTTCAAACTTGGATTAGTTGCCGTTAGGATTTTCTGGCCTAGATTATATGATCCAGGTAAAGATCAAGTGTAAGAAAAGCCTAGTCATGGAAACTATAATGTAGACTGTCATTCTTCTAGTCCTAGTGATTTTTTTTTTTTTTTTTTTAGAAGGCAAAACTCCAAGATCTTTGCATAAATCTCTAATTTTTCTTAGAATTTGTTCTTTTATTTAGTAATGACCTAGAGTTACTGGTTCTTTTTGTTCAAGAATGTGGGAGGACATTATGAGACATGGAGCACAGGAATCCTTGGTCCAGTTGTGCTACATGGACTTGACCAGGGAAAATGGGACTTATCCTGGCAGAAGTGGACCTATCAGGTACCTAAATTAACATTGATAATCACATTACCTTGACACTTGTTCAAAAATATATATTCCCTCATGGTGCCAACTCTCTAAACAGGTTGGGCTGAAAGGAGAGTCCAAGGATCTCGTCTCTCCAAATCAATATTCCTCCGTTGAATGGATGAGCGGATCATTAGCTGCACAAAGACCGCAGCCATTGACTTGGCACAAGGTATGCAAGGACAAAATGTAGTGAGCCTTGTTTCGGAGATAGCCACAGAATTCTGAATTCTTTTAACTATGCAGACATACTTTGATGCACCTGAAGGCGATGAGCCGCTAGCTCTCGACATGGAAGGCATGGGGAAAGGACAAATATGGATCAACGGGCAGAGTATTGGGAGATACTGGACTGCTTTTGCTAACGGTAACTGCAATGAATGCAATTATGCTGGGGGCTTTAAACCCACAAAGTGTCAGTTTGGTTGCGGACAACCAACTCAAAGATGGTATGGTTGAACTTGGGAAAACTAAAATATAATTTATAGTATTGAAGTATAGTAGAAAGCTTTATCGAGTAGCTAACTGAAGCAAACATGTCATTTTCAGGTACCATGTGCCTCGGTCTTGGTTGAGGCCAACACAGAATCTCCTGGTGCTTTTTGAGGAACTTGGAGGAGATCCTTCAAGAATTTCTCTGGTGAGGAGATCGGTGTCAACTGTTTGCGCTGAAGTCACTGAGTACCACCCGACATTAAAGAATTGGCACATCGAAAGCTATGGAAAATCTGAAGAATTCCACAGTCCCAAGGTTCACCTCCGGTGTAGTAACGGCCAGGCAATTTCTTCCATCAAATTTGCCAGCTTCGGAACTCCTTTGGGAACATGTGGTAGTTACCAGCAAGGAACTTGCCATTCCGCCGCCTCATATTCTGTCATAGAGAAGGTAGTAAATCATCATATTTTGTTCCAAAATCCACTTGGTATACTTACCCTTTTCACTGAACTCTATTGAGTCTTTTTCATTGCCTATTTTCACAGAAGTGTATAGGAAAGCAAAGATGTGCAGTCACCATAGCCAATAGCAACTTTGGAGACCCGTGTCCAAACGTGTTGAAGCGGCTATCGGTCGAAGCCGTCTGTGGCCCCACAACAGTTGGAGGTGGTAATTAGGTACGAAAGAAAGAAATAGCTGTTCATCAACGTTGCATCAAATGACTTTGACTACAACACTACCAGCAAAAGCAAGCAAAGAAGAATAAAAGCAATAGTACAGAGAGAAAAAAACAATCAAAAAGCAAGTTTAGTTAGGTGGAATGCTTTTCAATTCATATTGGGTGTTTACTGTTTTTTACTGCCAAAGGGCAATTAGTTACTAATTTATGTTGCATTAGTGGGTCTCATTAGAGAAAGACATTTGTTTGTAGGGTTGTTAAAGTTTGTATATTCCTAGGGTCTCCTCCAATTGAGGTCCTTAGGTAGAGTTCAGTCATTGGCAGGCCCTGGTCCCCGGCCTTTTAACGGGATATAGGCACTGGGAAATGAGGTGGGTGTACTGTTGTCTATTGAGTGTTTTTTAATGTTTCTGTTTCATTTCTGGGGGAAAAATTATCAAAACCCCAATTAGGTTCATGTTGGGAACGGATCCTAGTGTGACCATTGTTTTTCTGTGCAGTACCTGATGAAATTTAAAGTGTCTTTTTATGTATTGTGCAATTTACATCCTGATTTTTTATTTTTTTCTTTTTCTGTTTCTGTTTCTGTTTCTTTTCTTTAAACATTTTGTAGATTGATAACTACTATAAATTGGAATGGTCAGTATGTTCAATTCATAGTTGTAGATTGTGCCCTTTTCTCGTTCGCTTGTGTATCTATCCAAATGGCAAGTTTTGAAATTGCTCAATTGTGTATAAGATGGAAAATTCTGAACCATTCAAATCAAACAGAGGTAAAAATGGTGTTCATCAAGTATTTCTCTGTTTTAGCCTAGCAAATCCCAATTGAAGTCCCTACTACTTTTATTGGATGAATTTGAAGAAGCAAATAAACAAGATTTCATTCCACACACATTCTAACTACAAAACGTTTTTCATCTTTAACCATTGGAAGAAGACAATGAATCTAGTAACGGCTACACTCCCAAGAGTCTGCTTTCCAAATACATAAACAAACATATAATATGCTTTTCATCACATAAAGACAACAAAATCCATCATATTCATACTTCATACCATATTACAATTTAAAACCAAGCATATTACAAATTTTGTAAACTAAAAGTTTACACAAATAGAGCAACATATAATGAGGTTTAAGGCCTCTAAGAGCCAAATGCAAACATAGAATGTAGAGTCATCATCAGGCTGAAGCAGAACTAGCAGTGTGCTTTGCAATAGTCTGCTGAAGTTCCTCTCTCCTTGCTCCGACCACCTTGTCCACAATAGTCCCTTCTTTCAGAAACATGAAGGTCGGCATTGCCTCCACAGCCCAATCTTGAGCGACCGGCTACACACACCGAGTTCAATATATCTTTTAAGGGAAAAAAAATATGAAAAATTAACAAAACTAAATGAAAATCTGACAGTTAAAAATCGTCTACCATAGTATCCTCTAATTTTCTACCTTCAATTCATCAACATCCACCTTGAGGAATGTGACATCCGGTAGCCTCTTTGCCAGCTCCACCAGGAACGGTGTAATGAATCGACATGGTGCACACCATGAAGCAGTGAAATCAACAACCACCTGCATCAATTGTGAGAAAAACGACATTATACATGTGTGTGTGTATATATTTCGTATTGCTGTGATATCAATCCTAAAACATCAGTCATCATGGTATATCATGCACAATATGATAATGCCAATTAGACATTTCCAATACTCAAGACTAACTTCTGATGAAGTCAAACAAATCAATTTAAACCCTTGTAGAAACAAATAGCAATACCCACCACGCAATTATTGGATGTTGATACACAGATCTCTGCTCAATTTATCTCAAGAACAATCATAACATATATGATACGACACCTTTTGGACTAAGATTTGTTCCAATCCCAAACACAAAAACTCATCCTTGGTGCTCAGAAGAAAGTACAACAGGATAAAAATGATGCTCACATTCAAAAACCATTCTTCAAAGTTCAAATCAAGAACTATTTTTCAAAATTCTTTTGTTTGTTTATCTATCCACAGAAAATTTTGGGTGTACAGTGACAAGGTAATTCAACATCGAGTAAATTGTAATAAAATTCTATCACGATTATTATTATTTTTCGGGCATGAATCTCGGATGATTATGAACCAAAATCAAAATTTAACACACCAAATCAGATAATCATAAACCATAAAATCTACGAGGAAAAAAAAGATTATTAATTTGAGATAAAAAAAATGAAATAAATAATAAATTACCAGCTTCTTAGATTCATTCCCTTTCTGAAGTTGCTCGTTCCATGCCTCAAGAGTGTGGCAACTAACCACTTGTCCCTCTTCTGCTGCCATTTTTTCTCGCCCTCAAAAGAAAGAATTTTCTCCCAAGCCAAAACGGAAATTACCCACAACAGAAAAAGAGAAAAAACGAAAAAGTAACCTTTAATCCTTTATGGGTTCCATACGACGCTTTCCGTATATTTTGGAAAATGGACCTCCGTTCAGGGCATAAATTACGAGTTTGCCATCGGTTAAATACAGTTCGGTCGGGGATTCCCATGCAACGTAAAAAAGGAAAAGGGCGCAATCCAGCTGTCTGAGTTTTTTTTTCTTCGCGACCTACAGAACAACCCCGTTATGAGGGCATAAACCCCGTAATAGTCGGGTCTACGTGAGTCCCATTAGTAAGGCTGGTAATATAGATTACGACACGATAATACGATTTAAAAATAATATGAATTTTATAAGTTAAGATTGAGAAAAAAAATGTTTAAGTCAAAATTGAATCGACCTGAAATTGATACGAAAAATATAGGTCAATTTCAAATTGAACACACTTAACCCGAACACAACACGAAACTCGTAAAAAATTAAAAAATACATATATTTTTCATTACATATTTTTGATTTTATTATGAACTTGTGATATCATGATAGTTATACTCAAAATCTTATACTATTATTTACTTAATTTCAATGGATGTTATTGTATTTTAGTGTGTTATGAATTTTAAGTTATTTCTAATATGTAAAAAAACTAAATAAAAGTATACAATTTTCATGTCAATTTCAGGTTCACGAGTCAATTTCGTGTCACGGGTTATTTTCGTATCGTGTCGTGTCAACTCGTAAAGTGGTCGTGTCGTGTTCATATTACAGTTTTTAAAAAATTTCGTGTTACGAATCGTGTTCAGGTTGACTACAAATTAAAAAAAATAATCAAAATATGACACGAACATGACACGTGATACGAATTGACACCTTTACCCATTAGTATGTTTGATGGCCTCGTTCTGACGTGTCTAAAAAAGTTTTTTGCTATAATATATAAGATATGTCTTCAGTTCGGCAACCATATTATTAACCTTGTAAATATAACATTTTTTCCTTAATATAACATCATTTGTATGTTCAAATAACACACTTTTTAAGTGTAACAATCAGTAAAATGTAATCTTTCAAATGTTATATTACATTAATTTTAATATTATCATGTTACACTAAAAAGTTACAAATATTTTTTAAAAATATTACACTTATCGTAATGTACGACCGCGACACTTTAAGACAATACCTGATATACATGCCTTTGATTTGGCTATTAGGTTGTCTGATTGATAGAATTAGAGTGTTCAAATTAACAAGCATGAGATGAGCAATGGAGCCGGAAATTTATATTGGCGGGAACTAATAAATAATACAAAGTACACACATTTAATAGGGATACAAGATTGGTTTTTAATTTTTTAGTGGGAGCTATGTGTTTATTACCATAGTAAAATACTTATTTAGATATAAGATTTTTTTAAAATTATAAATGCCCCCATTGGACATAATGTAGCTCTGTTCATGCATGAAATTATGTTTCTGACAGAGAAAAAAAGAAGCAAGAAGTTCTACTGTTTACTATTGAGAAAATAAATTAAAATTCGTTATTTATTTGGAAAATTCTGTGGGAAAAAAAAAAAACCATATAGTAGGGCAAAATTATGATCCTTACATCTTCATTAAATTCATTTCAATTATATTCATTAAGTTCATTAAATTATACTTATAATTTATTATACTACTGATGTGATCTCATGATTTATAACTATACCCTATCTACAGCCAAATCTTCGCACTTATGATTTTTTAAGAAAAGAAAATATATGAGAGAATCTGTATAAAAAAAAAAAAAAAAAGGAGAGGAGATCTGCTGTTTCAAAAGGTTGTCCTCATTGCTGTCCCATTCACCAAAGTTGGCCATGTGTTTTAGGAGGTGAACTCCCACTATACCTCATTTGGAGGCCTCGAAAAAAATTGGTTCAAAGTTGCTGAGAGTAAATTCACCAACAAATCACAACGCACAGGTTGTTAAGGTTCTTCAAAAAAGTTTTTTTTCTTTATCTTTTTTTAATTATCATCATTTTCCGAAACCTTATTAAACAATACCATTGAAGAATGAAGAGGACAGAGAACTCAAATTGCCGTTCCCAACTACAAAAGCGTTATCTGAGAAAGCTAATGGGAGACCCATTTTTTTGGACAATAATGCACTGCCCATTAAACCGAAGGAAAAGTGAAATTCCTCTTACATTTGCAATAGTATACATGTAAAAACAAATATTTAGGTGGAGGAAGATTTCTCTCAACTTTCCAACAACATACAGAACTAAAGAGGCTCCGGGCATTATCGTTGTGAGAGGAAACAAAAAATCATTACAGTAAGTTCTGGGCATTATCGTTGACATTGGACATTGAAGAATCTTACCGCCATTTACGAGAGAGGAAATGGATAACAGGCTTATTGGCCGTGTTTGTAATTGATTCTGTTGTTTGAGAAAGAAAAAATGAAAACGTTTTCAAAACGGCATTTAACGCAATAAAGATAAAAAATGAAAATGAAAACGATTTTTTAGTTTAGTGTAAAATGAGAGAAAAATGAAAAACGACTTTTAGTCGTTTTTTATTTTTTGTTTTCGTTTTCTCCCCTCCTGAGCAGAGAGAGAAAGAGAGACATTAATGAGTTTTTTTACACTGAAAATAATCTCTTGATAAAACTACCAAACACATTTTTAAAAATAATTTCTGTCTGAGATTGAAAACGTTTTCATTTTTATTTTCATTTTTATACAAAAAATAAAATAATTTTAAAACGAGTTCCAAACGCACCCGTTAATTTTCTCAATAAAGTATTGCATATATTTAATTAGATTTTTCTTCTCCAAACACGGTTCAATAGTATGTTACGCACAAGGATATGTGGTCAGCTTTCGTGAATGGGACAACAATAGGGACAGTCTTTTGAGACAACAGATCTCCTCTACCCTATTTATGCGACACAATTTTACTCCATCAAATGATCATACATATATTAAGAAAAATAGGATAATTTAAAATAACATGACTAAAATTTAACGACTCATAATTATATCTCCTTAACATGATTTTTTTTTTTTTTTTACAGAAAATGCTAGGGACACGTGCTTGACACTACACATTAACAGAAAATGAATTCTTGTCTACTAGTAATATTGAACACTATTCCTTATTACAAAATTTTCCTAGGGTACATAGGTTTCATTCAAAATGGAACAGATTCTCACACATTTTGGTCTTGCCAAAAAAATGTCTGGTCTCGTGAAAGATATTACTCCTAGGATAAGTAGGGCTTTTTTTTTTCTTCTAGTGGGCGGTGAGATATTTATAAGTTGGTTGTTGTCCTTAGTTTTGTCATGATGGTCCCACATAGTAACTGCGTAGGCACTCAAGATCTGTCGTTGATTCGAATTTTTAATTCGAGTTGAGATGTAACTTTATGTGAGAACTTTTACTATAGTAAAAAAGTTATATATAACTGTTTATGAGAGTTTTTTACTGTAACAAAACTCAAATTCTAAACTCAAATCGGTAAAATGAACGAGACCTTAAAGTTCACCGCAACTCATCCGCCCTAACATTCATCAATTTGTCACGTGTATAGTGTGGTTTCTGGTTTGGGCCTTGGGGACCTGAGGAAGCGCATCGGTGAAATTAAGGACGAATTGGAAAAGTATACTCATGATTTGAGTTTAGGACTTTGTGAGAAAGTATAAATTTTAAAATTTAAATTCTTTGTGTTATAAATCATTTAGTAAAATCATAATTTAAATTTGAGTATAACTTCTAAACAATCCCTAAGCTTCGACAAAACAACAACTCAACATGTTTGCCCCTTTTTTTTCACTCTTATTTTTCTTTTTCTTTTTTTCTTTGCTTGAACAACATCTTTCCTTGCTTAAAAGGATCCCTCTAAAAACTCTTTTAAGGCACAAATTTAGGGCCCGTTTATTTCATATACTGAAACTCATATCATTGATTCTGCTATAGTGTTTGACCTCACAAAAAACTTAAACTTCAAACTTCATAATCAAGAATCATAATTTAAGTATACTTTCCAATCATGTCCTCAGATTCCCAAATGGTTTTTAAACCCTGAGTTGTACTTTCTTGCCCAGAAAAATAAACAAAACCGTTGCAAACGACACTAGATATAAAGGGGAAAGAGGAAAGGATGATTTTTTTTTTTTGTTCAGAGACATATATGTGAATCATACAAGTTAAACAAAAATGTTCTTACTTGATGAAAGCATAGCAGAAGCTACAACTGAATTAAATTCTTGAAACAGTAAGTTCCAAAAAGGAACCAACCAACAAGGAAAACAATGAACAGTGCCAAGAATATTAGGAAGGAGGATCCCCCAAGCGCAAATCCCAGACTGAAAACAACAAGAAACGGTAAAAAGGAACGCACCATGGATGCTTTGCTCACCCATTTACCCTTTATAAAGATCAGAGCAGCAAGGTTCACCACATTCCACCCGCCATTTGAAAACTGCAGCCTGTTCAGATTGTTAGCCACGAAAGAATGGCAATTGCAAGTGAACAGGCTATAAGCACGGTGCTGGAAGACTTGAGTGCCCTTCCGAAGCGCATCATCCCATGTTGATATCTCTCTTTCGGGTTGATCCTGCCGGTGCTGATCCTCGCTTTTGTGCAATGACGGAAGGGGAAGTGCATAACACTGCTTGCCAAAAAATTTAGAAGCATAAGTTAAACCAGCAATGAGATAAACATCTTTTACAAACAAATCTGTCATCATTCCATATATAAAAATTAAATAAAATTGCCTGTTAACTTGTTAAAGATTCCAAGCATGAGATACGGCTGTGTGCCCTGAATTCAAGAGGAAACAAAATTCTTCCCATGAAAGGAGAGGCAAAGGCATTTTTGTCTGTTTGGTGTCAATAACTACTACTACCCCCATCCAATTACTAACACAGGTCATTTTGGCATTTGGTTAATGCTGGTCACAATGAAGATAGCAGGAGATAACATGCTGAATACCTCATGAAGACTTATGTGAAGGTAACGAGCCACTACTCCAAAAGCAAAATTGTCAACGCACACAAAATTAGGCCCTGCGAAGTCCAAAATCACACCATCCTCTCTGCATATACCAATATGACCAACAAAAGGAACCAGCCATGAAATCACAGGAAGGGGAGTCCACACGATGCAGCAAGGGAACCGGGCTCTTTTAGGGTCGATTTGAAAATTTGGAGATGAACTTCCTTCAGCCATCAACTGGTTTTCAGTGTCTGCATCAGAATCCATCTCCAAAGGGAGAATCTAGCGTGGAATTTCCTCAACAAACCAGATGTGTGCGAACGATTAACAAATTTCTCTTGGCAAAAATCTACTGCATAATAAGCCTCAAATATGTTACCAAACCTTCATCATAAAAAATATTGTGTTTCCATCTCTAATTAAGTTATTGGCATTGCAATTTTTCAGGGGAGAAAAGAACAGAGAAGATAAAACATTTGCAAAGTTACAAATACATAGAGATGATCAGATGAATGATGAATGCTATTGAATATAGTTCTAAGACAAGGGTTTCTAGAAATAAGGCAAAGTCAACGCATATGTGGATAAGAATTCATAAAATTGGGTCCCTTTGGCTCAGAACTACACCAAATAATAATAATAATAATAATAAGGAAACGATCATATCACTTCACTATTCTACATATAGGAGTTCAAAATCCATAGCATCTTTATCCACTAAAAACAACCCTTTTGAGAAACCAAAATGACGAAGAGAAATTTTGATTTTCCGAACACTACGATTATGTTAAGATGAACCAAATAAAAAGCGAAGATTTAAAATGATTAGCTTGACGGACATGGAAACTAAAACACCGAAAATGGTGAATCAATATTTAGCCCTAAATTAGACACCAAACATCGAGAATTTACCTTCGGATCGGAAAAATAAGAGAAAAATCTGAACTTGAAAACAAGCGATCGACGAATTCCCTTTCCTCCCGAATATCCTTCTTCGAAAAATTCCGAAATACAGGGTGGGGGGTACCTGCAGTTTGGTCGTTCAACTCCGTCCCTACTCTTCGCTCGCTCCTTTTGATCTCTACAACATGTTTTGTTGTCGTCTCGATATTTCCTTTCTATATGATGTCGTTTTTCCAATTTATGCTGTATATTGAGATGATTGGGGGTTCTCCTTTGCCAATTTTTGAAACATGTCGTTTCGTTTAGTATTGCTATCGTTTATTAAATAAATAATGAATTTATTAATGTACTATGGTTATTTTTAAATATTTTCATTATTTATGAATGTGTTATGGCTATTTTTAGACATTATAATAAGTAGGAAAATATTTGAGTAAAATTTAGAATAGTGTATTTATTAAAGAACTTGTAATTTTTAAATAAACAATATTTAAAATTTCATTTTATTATAGAGAAATAAAATGGGTGCATTGAGAATTATGTTTAATTATTAAGGATATTTTAATAAATATGATAATGACAGAAACTAGGTTATTTAAAATCTAAAAAGCCCCCAGGTTTATAAGACGAGTCCCTTATTATATATATAAAATTTAATCTCAAGAAAACAAACCCAATTGATTCTTCCCACCGAATAATGCTCTCCCTAAGAGATATGACCTCAATATGGTCTCTAATGGTTTTTTTTCTGCTGCTTAGCATTGTTGGGGTCTCTAATGGAGGACTCACTAGCCGCTACATCAGAAAATCTAGACCCTCCATTGACATGCCTCTTGATGCTTTTCCTTCCCCTAAGGGTTTCAATGCACCCGAACAAGTACACACACACACACACACACAGAGTCAACCGCTTTTCTTAATTTTTTATATTTTTTAATTTATTTTTGTTATTTTTTTGGTGATGTTTTGCTAATAGATTTGGTATATGTGGTGGTCCAGGTTCATATAACGCAAGGAGATTATGTTGGTCGAAGTGTGATTATTTCTTGGGTGACACCAATAAAAAAGTATCCAAACACTGTTAGGTATTGGGAAGATGGCAAGCATGGCCATGGCCACAAGCATAAGCACATCGCTCGTGCCATAACCACAACCTATAGATACTACAATTATACTTCTGGGTTTATCCACCACGCCACCGTCAAAAGACTAAAGGTTAAAAATCTGAACCAAACGAAATTTGGGAATTTTTTTTCATCTTTTTAATATTTATATTATTTTTTTTATTTCAGTATGATACCCTATACTTTTATGAGCTTGGTCGAGGCAATGTAACTCGTCACTTTTCCTTCAAAACTCCTCCTGAAGTGGGACCCGACGTTCCGTACACATTTGGCGTCATAGGTCAGAATCCTCGTAGAACTCTTTTTCTTTTTTCTTTTTTTTGCTAAAGAAATCTTTATAGAAGGTCGTCCCCCTTTTTGTATTTTTTATCTTTTATTTTGAAAGTAAGACTTCTTAAAATTTATTTTAGTTTACACTTTTCATGCGATTTTCTTATTTTGTTTTTTTTAAGAATCTTTGTAAGCTATTTTACTCTATTAGTGAGAACAATTAGTTTTAACTGTTAGATTAATTTTTTAACGGTTAAATTTGTGTAAATTTGTATTAAAAATTTATATCGCGTCACATATAACTGCTCATATAGGAAATCTGACCTGTAGAAAATGAATCTAACGGTAAAAACAAAGTTTCTATCGGCAGAGTAAAATAACTTGCTTCATCGTAAAGACTCTATTTTTGTTTTCTTTTATCGATTGACAAAAGATGTGACAAATGTACAAATTAGATAAATGTTTACAATGATGAGTCGATAATTTATATCTATTTATTTATTAACGGGAACGATAATCTATATTTATTTGCTTATTAATGAGAACAAAAGGAAAAAGTTAGAGAATTTTTTATTGAATAGAATTAGTATTGAATGTGAGTACAATTATAATTTTTTTTTTAATAAAATGAGGGTACAACTAAAATTTAAACATAAAAATTAATTCTCAAAATGAAAGTGGTGCACGTTAATCTGGCTCCGCCACTAGTCATGAACTGAAATTCTGGCTGAGATAACTCTCAAAAATTTCATGCACGGATTTTTATATCTATGTAATTTGTTCCTCAATGCTGCATTTAATTTAAGTAACATGGTAAGTCTGGTTTTTCTCTGCAGGTGATCTAGGACAGACATATGACTCCAATCAAACGTTTGAACACTATGTTTCCAACCCAAAGGGGCAAGCCATGCTGTTTGTTGGCGATCTTTCTTATGCAGACAACCATCCATTCCATGACAACAGGAAGTGGGACGCATGGGGTCGTTTTGTTGAGAAGAGCACAGCTTACCAGCCTTGGATTTGGACTGCTGGCAATCACGAACTTGATTTAGCCCCTGACATTGTAAGTCTCTCAATCTGAACTACTTCTCATTGACAAAGAATAATGCTATTTCTAGGGATCTCAGCTTTTATCTCATCTTTTTAATAACAACAAATGATACATGAATTGTTATTTTTTAATTAGTAAGTGTTTGATAAATTGTTACCTCAATTGATATTATAAAGTTACATATATTAATAAAAAGATGATAACTCGACGATAATTTTTATTAGGTAAGGACACAGTTATCTATTTCAACTATTGAGTGGAGGTAAAATAAATTTTCTTATAATAAGAGAGCATCACTTTTAAAAAAGCAAAAAAAAGGTGTAAACATTGAAATTTCAAAAGTCAAGTGGGGGAACGTGCCCACACCCAACTATGAGTAGCTCTGTCACTATCAAAAAGTTGGGATCCCAGCACCACTCCATTGATAAAACAATTATTTTTGCTCTACGGTTTAGTGGCTTAAAACTCTAACGTATACATTCTGATTTCAGGAAGAAAACCAGCCTTTTAAGCCATACTTGCATAGGTACCATGTACCTCACAAGGCATCACAAAGTACTTCCCCACTTTGGTATGCGATCAAGCGCGCATCTGCCCACATAATTGTCCTTTCTTCTTACTCAGCATATGGTAAGTAAAGCTTAATTGTTATACTGCCATGAATCTAAGAACAACCATTGTTTGAAGGCTGATAGTGAGCTTTTTTTGTGTATCAAGGCAAGTATACTCCACAGTACAATTGGCTCCAACAAGAGCTTCAAAGGGTCAACAGATACGAGACTCCTTGGCTGATTGTTCTGCTCCACTCTCCTTGGTATAACAGCAACAATTACCACTACATGGAAGGCGAAAGCATGAGAGTTATGTTTGAATCATGGTTTGTCCAGAGCAAAGTTGACATTGTCTTTGCCGGTCATGTTCATTCTTACGAGCGTTCGGTATAAACTTGCTCGTTTTCTCAACTTCTTGTGCTCTTTACATCTGTGATTTACCAGTTTCTAACCATGAATCATGGCCATATTACTTTAGGAGAGAGTATCAAACGTGAAGTACAACATAACCAATGGACTGAGTTTCCCAGTTAAGGACCCTTCTGCACCAATATACATCACTATTGGCGATGGTGGTAATATTGAAGGCCTTGCAAATAAGTAAGACTCTAGTACCCCTTCGAGGGATTGAACACTGTTAGGGGTCATTTTTTTTTTTTATCTCAATCTCTTAATTGTGACTAACGTAACAAGTGAATTATCATCCTTCTATCACCAAATGGCTAAGAAGTTGTCACATCAATTGGTATTAAAAAATTATTACCTATAAACAGAATAGTAACGGCTGACGACTCACACCCACTTAAGTTGGTATTTACGTTTATATACATTATACAGTTGAGCTCTGCTCTCTCGCGAATGGTGAGTGTGAGCCGTCAGCCGTCACCCACCTCAAAAGAGGGTGGTACCTACCCATAATAGAGAGCCAAGCCGCACGATGCCCAGTAAAGTGTTCACAGTTGGAATCCCTAGTAATGTTTTTCTTGCATTAATCCATGTTTCCTATTTATATGCAGCTTACATGTTAGCTAACCCTTGGTCAATCAAATGCAGTTTTACTGAGCCACAACCTAGTTACTCAGGTTTTAGAGAAGCAAGCTTCGGTCACGCCATTCTTGACATAAGAAATAGAACGCATGCCTACTATACTTGGCACCGTAACCAAGATAGTGAGCCAGTTGCTGCTGATTCCATTTGGTTGTACAATAGGTACTACTTTCCACAAGAGGAGAAAACTGGGGCTTCTACTATGGTTTAGGTTTCAACTTCTAGGCTCTCATGGCCTTTCTTCTTTTTTCCTCTAATAATTTGCTTCAACAACTTTGATATTTTGTTTTTGGCTTGTCAACATGATGAGGCGTAAGATATGGGATAATTAGGACTTTAAAATATTGCTTTATTTAGGATTTTATTTCAGTTATTATGTTTATCTATTATGATTGTTTAGGATTTATTTCAGATTATTATTGGGATTTCTTCCGTGTATAAATAGGCCTCTCTATCTTCCTTATTTTCATGCTTGATTAATCATATTACATATTCATATTTCTCTCTCTAAATTCTAAATTTTCTCTCCTCTCTTCTTTCTAATGCCTCTCCTCGTTCTCTCTCTTTTTCTCTCTACTTTGACTTTCTTTCTTTCTAAACTGTTATACGCCAGATCAATTTATATAAGACCTTTTGTAGAGTTTGAGCAGCTTTACTTGCCATTTTCACATTGCAAGAACTTCATTATTTGGCTCTGCCAAAAGCAGTACAGGACTTTGATCAGTCTATCAAGCAAATAATAATGATGATGATGATGATGATGATGATGATAATAATAAATCCCTTTAAATCAGTTAAGCATTCCCATCATTTTTAAACTAGAATCAAGATTCCAAAATCTTGCATATGTCAAAAAAGCTCCGTCTTTTCCTTGCTCTAAAATACTACAAAACCTCAAACTTTGAGAGAAATGTCCTTGATTTTTGCAATCTCTTGCTTGTGCATTGCATCTTCGTCACTAACTGAACTTCAAGAGTATACACGATGTCACAATGTTCATCTATTGTGGGAAACTACTAGAAAGTTTCATAATAACTTATGCTGAAAGTGCCTTATCTGAATAATTTGAACTTGCATGAGGTCAAGATTAAAAGGACACATTTTGTCTTCTTATGAGTGAATAACGTATATTATTGATATGCATTATCATAATACAATTATACAAATAAATAGTTGTACAAGGAACTATTTTAGAAAATTATCCTAGAAAATAAATAGCTTATTGACAACTATATACATAGCTATTCTAGGAAACTAAATCAAATCATAATCAATCCTAATAACTCTATTTTTGGCACAATCTCCTCTAATTCAGATGAATATCTTGCAACACTCCCCCTTCAGCTCGCTTGTAGATGTCTTCCATAACTAGCTTGCTAACTAGTAGTTCGAACTGTCCCTTGTGTAGCCCTTTGATGAGTATGTATGCTATGTGTTGTGCAGTTGGTACATAGAGAACACAGATTAGCCCACTTTCAATTTTCTCCTTGATGAAATGCTTATCAACCTCGATATGCGTAGTTCTATAATGTAGAACTAGATTGTGTGCAATTGAGATGGCGGCTTTGTTATCACAGTAAATCTTCATAGGAAGAGACATTGAAATCTTCAAAGCTTCGAATAATCTCTTTATCCACATTGCCTCATAAATTCCATGTGCAAGAGACCTAAACTCTGCCTCAGCACTGCTTCGAGCCACAATACTTTGTTTTTTGCTTTGCAACGTAACGAGATTTCCTCAAATAAAGGTGTAGTAGCCTAAAGTCGATCGTCAGTCAGTAGTGCTACCAGCCCAATCTGCATCTCTATAGACTTCAATTTGTAGGTTGTCCCATTTTCAGAACATAAGACCCTTTCTAGGAGTTCCCTTCTGTGAAGGTATCTTAGTATTCTTTAAGCTGCATCAAAATGTTCTTGTCCTGGTGAGTGCATGAATTGGCTTGTCATGCTCACAATGAAAGCTATATCAGGACGTGTATGTGACAAGTAGATCAATTTCTCCACTAGTCTCTGAAATTTCTCCCTATCAATCTTATCTTCAGGTTTAGCAGGATCAAGTTTCAAGTTGGCTTCAATGGGAGTCTCAGTAGCTTTGCAACCCAGAAGACATGTCTCTATGAGAAGATCAAGAATGTATTTCCTTTGGTCCACAAAGATACCTTCTTTCGATCTTGCGAATTCTATACCAAGGAAATATTTTAACATACCCAAGTCCTTGATCTCAAAGTCTTGTATCATTCTCTTCTTTACGTCTGTTAACTCTTCAAGATCATCACGTGTTAGAATTATGTCATCTACATAGACAATTAGGATGGATATCTTACATCTTTCCGAGCGTTTATAGAACATTGTATGATCAGCTAGGCTATGATGATAGCCGTAACTCTTCACAGTCTTTCCAAAACGTTCAAACCACGCTCTTGGAGATTGTTTAAGGCCATAGAGAGATTTTTTTAAGTCTGCAGACCTTGTCTTTGCCAAACACCTTCTCAAATCTTGGCGGTAGGTTCATAAACACTTCTTCTTCTAAATCCCCATTGAGGAAAGCATTCTTGAAATCTAACTAGTGTAGTGGGCAGTTATAGTTTGCTGCTAAGGATAATAGTACCCGAATGGAATTTATTTTGGCAACCCGGGCAAAAGTTTCTTGGTAATCAACCCCATATGTTTGAGTAAACCCCTTAGCCACGAGTCTCGATTTATATCTCTCTACACTTCCATCCACCTTGCACTTCACTGTAAACACCCATTTACACCCAACTATTTTTTGATCCACATGTAGGTCAACAACTTCCCATGTCTCACTTTTCCTCAGACCATTCATCTTTTCCATCACTGTTGATTTCCAATTAGGATCATTAAGTGCTTCCTGAATGTTTCTTGGCACAAGCAGATTAGAGATTTTAGATGTAAAGGCACTGTGTTTCTTTGAGAGTTTACCGTAGGACAAGTATTTGGACATAGGATGAGAGGTACAAGTGCGTTTCCTTTTCTGATTGCTATGGGAATATCATAATCATTAGAATCGACATTAGGCATAGAATTAGGCATAGGATCAATATTAGGTTCAGATATTTCATCAGGACTAGGAATGAAATTATGTAAGGAAGTATCTAGAATACCTGTATTTCTTTCATATTCATTACCCAAGATGTCTGGTTGAGCCTATGCTAAATGGATAGTGGACCTCTTATTCTTTTGATATTCTTCTTCCTTGAATAAGTGAGTAACTCTATATCTTGTTCCTTGGGAACCAAAAGTAGTATTTCTCTACTCAGAAGTGTTTAGCAGAATAGTCTTAGGATCACTAGTTTCCAAAACAAATAGCAATTTCCTTTTTATTCAAAGGCTCATTTTGAGATATGGGATTATTAATGCAACCCACGGTTTCAGGTAGGGATTGGAAATAATGTCCCAAAAATTTCCTTCTTCTCCTATATTCTTCCCTTGAAGAGAAATTTTTTGAAAAAAATGTTGATTCCGTCCATAGAATCAACAGTTTTCCTAATTTTTGTGTTTAAACACTTGTATACTTTCTTGTTTGGTGCATAACCAATAAAAATATATTTTTTGGCCCTTGGATCAAGTTTAGATCGACCTTTACTGGGTATATCGACATAAACCGTGCATCAAATATTTTCAGACGGAGATTAGATCGAATACGTGATTCAGGAAAATATTTTTTAAAATATTCAAGGGGTGTAATGTTATTTAGAACACGAGTAGGTATCATGTTAATTAGATAGGATGCAATTAAAACAGCTTCGCCTCAAAGATATTTAGGAACATTCATAGAAAACATAATAGCATGAGAAACTTCAAGTAAATGTTTATTTTTACGCTCAACAATACTATTTTTCTGAGGTGTATCCACACAAGTAGTTTGATGACGAGTACCTTTTTCTGCAAAAAATCTTCTGAGAACTTCCTTAAAATATTCAGTTCCATTATTTGTATGAAGAATTACAATTTTAGTTTGAAAAACGTTTTCAATCATCGAGTAAAAGATTTTAAATAAGTTCTCAACCACATATTTTTTCTTCATTAAATAAACCCAGCATAAACGAGTATGATTGTAGATAAAAGTCACAAACCATTTTTTTTCCGAAGAAGTATTGACAACATCACTATGGATTAAATAAAAAGGCTTCGAGGCTTGGTAAGGCCTTGAAAGATAAATAGATCTATGACTTTTTGATAAAATGCAGTTTTCACAATGAAGTTTAGAAGAGTCCAAACCTTTAAATAAACTAGAAAAAAGTTTTTTTAAGATAAGGAATACTAGTAGGGCTGTTCATGGGTTGGGTTGATGCATGGTAGGGCTTTTTAGTCCCCCATCCCAAAGGGTGTGGGTTGCACATATTTGGCCCCAACAATGTTAGAAAAATTTCACAACCCAATGATGTTTGGGTTGGGTTAGGGCGGTGCGGGGTGGGTTGGGTGGTCAGTTTCAACATTTAAAGAATCAAAGACTCAAAGTTCAATCCAACATCAAACATGAAGCAAAGTAGTCCATCCAACATCAAACATAAAGCAAACATAAATTAGTCTACACTCATAAATTAGTCTTAACATAAAGCAAACATAGAGGCTTAATTCAAACATGAAGAAACTAGAGAGTAGAAATGAGTTGTCTGCCTAGGGTTAGATCTTAGAGGAGGTAAGTTAGAGCGCGGGTTGAGTTAGGGTGTGCGGACCATTATAGGCCCAACCCATAATCCGCCCCATAATTTCAGGCCAGACATTGAATGGGCCGCACAAAAAAAATTTAATACTAGAAATTGCATTTTTTAGGTTGGGTTGGGCATGCGGGTTTTGCTGGTTTATGAACAGCCCTAAATACTAGGATGCCCTAGTCTATAGTGCCAAAGCATAATTTGATCCTTAACTGGAGTAGAACCGATACTACTGAAGCCTTGAGCTCCTTTATTCTTAGAATCTTCATCTTCAAAATAGTAGAGGCCATCTATCAATTTAGCACTGACAATCATCTTCTCCGAACTCAATTCTTGAAAGACACAGTAGGATTCAAAAAAGGTGACACGGCAGTTAGAATCTCTAGATAATTTACTAACTAATAGCAGATTACAAGTAAGTTTAGGAACATGGAGAACATTTTTTAGAGAAATGGTTTTACATAGATTTATCAAACCTTTGCCGGCTACAGGGGAATATGAGCCATCTGCTGTACGATCTTTTCATGACCAGAAC